TTTTGTTCACTGTGGTTTTGCAAATGGATGGCATGTGTAAAAAGGATGAAATCAAAGGTAAACGCTGACTTAAGCTCACAAGCACAGGTTTGGCCACAGCTGAAGAATTCATACCGTATGTCTGTGAAGGTTCTCAGTCATCCAGGTCATCGTAGTCTAAGGAGCTTGAAAAGAAAAGTGTCTGTACTTCTTTAAGTTGCTTGAAGACGTTTCACCTCTCATCTGAGAAGCTTCTTCAGTTCTAGGGTCAAATGGTGGAGAGTCCCACTGGGTTTAAATCTGGGACTCTCCACTATTTTACCCTAGAACTGAAGAAGCTTCTTGGATGGGAGGTGAAATGTCTTCAAGCCACCTAAAGAAGTCCAGACGCTTTTCTTTTCAAATTCATACCGTAATTAAGACAAAATTTCACACGAAAAGATGTACTTTTATTAGAGGTTTACAACTGCAAGTTGGTCATTCTGGTATTAGCGTTGACATAGAAGTCAGTAATTAGAAAACTGATACTCTCACTGTCTCACTGATTTGCTTTATTTTCAGCTCACAAAGAGAGTCGCCTGCCCCAACTCCTTTGTTGAATTTTCCATTGACAAGGATGTTAAGAAAAGCAAGGTATTGCTCTCACTTAAACATGCTGATACGTCATTTTCTCCTTTAAATGTTTCTGTTCTTTATATTCTTGTTCATATGTGATGAATCCAGATGGTTAGACTTGCTGATTTGCTACCGTTTATCCACTTTACAATTTTGTTTATATACAGTAGTTATGTTTGTGAACACTTTGTGTGATAATATTTCCCCTTTGTTCATAATGTAGCAGATTATTTTTTTTAAACCAGAGAATGGGCTACATTGAGGAGCTTTATTATGAAACATGTTAGAAAGCATAACAGGTATATTTCAAGTAAATTCTCACATACACAAAAATCCCACTTGTGACAGAAACGTGTCTGTCTGTGGATGTCTCAACAACCAAACTTGTTTGTTATTTCCGTGAGAAGAAGAACAGAGATTATCTGTATTTCACTGCTCCAGATCCTACGAGTCACAGTACTGTCAACAGCATATTTTAAAAGAAAATATTAGTTGTGTAAGAAGGCGTTTAATAAATTCACTTTAAGCCCAACATAATTAAACCTGAATGAAGTACTACAGCATTTGGGCTTGTTTTTTGCCAAGGTTCAGGTGTTAAAACACATTTTAGGCATTTCTAGTTAAATCAGAACCTTTAGTTTTAGGACTGACTTAGCATGGGGAAAAAACTAAAGCCCACCAGCACCTCTAAGCATTATTTTCTCTAAAGTGGCCTAAAATTAAAAATGTTTGACTATTTTTGTTCTAGAAGCACTTTGACCTTTGATCAGTAATATATATAAAGTCTGTGTTGTAAAAATATTTCCATTGCAAACAAGTAGCACAGTAACTGTCTTAAAACTTTTTTTTTTTACTACTCGATTCACTGTTTCCCAGGTTGTGTATGCTTCCAAAGACCCGGTGTGGGAGGAGGGCTTCACCTTCTTTGTGCGTAACGTCAAAGCGCAGCAGCTCTCTATTCAGGTTTGTTTTCTCTCTCTGGCAAAAAAAGCAACAAAGCTATTTTTTTACTTTTTTTGTTTTTTAAAACATTTTTTAACAGAAGTAAAGGTTTCTAATTGTTTTTACCATATTCTTCAATCATTATTTTCCCACAACTACCTTATAATTCTAAATCATATTCTGAAACTAGATTCTTTCAATCTGTCTGATCTCCTCATGAGGTTAATGTAATTTGTATTTTTCATATTTTCTTTGTTCATGTGGTTCAGGTCAAAGAGCCTGAGAAGAAGAATCCACTCGGTGTTCTCAACTTGCCCCTCAGTCGCCTCCTCAACACCTCCAACCTGACTCTAGACCAGCGCTTCCTGCTGGAGCGCTCTGGAGCAACCAGCCAGATCAAACTGAAGGCCACTCTGAGGGTGCGCATGCAAACATACACCCAAAGCAAATTATCTCTGTTGGTTTCCCCATTGTGTTTTCCACCTCTCTCATAAGTGATGGTTTTAGCCACAGTAGCACTGCTCATGTCTTCAACTCACACAGATTCTTAAATTGGAAGAGCCTCCACCCAAGCCTATCGTCAATCCTCCTTCAGAAGTCAAACAAGCGGGGAATACCTCAGTCTCCAATCCCTCCAACGCTCCATCCTCTTCTAACGCAGTTTCCTCCAAAGAAATTCCTGTTGTCTCTACTCCGAAACAAGTGCCAACTTCACCAAATGAAGGTTATTTAGCTCAACGCCGTGGCTCCTTCCAGGCGCCTGAAAACAGGAAGGAATCATCTTCATCATCAAACTTGCGTCGGTTCGACTCTCACAGCCTGCTGTCGGAGAACTCTATTGCTTCATCACGATTCGACCTGTCAGATGGAGCCACCTATCCCGAGTGAGACTTTGTTCTCTGCATGTTCTGTTAATGTCGACGTCTAACCTTTCTAGAAATATGGTGAACTGAGGCAGTTGCTGCATTTTTGAAAGAGTAGAAATAAAAGTGACCTTTGCATATTTGTTTCTCTTTAGGGCCATTAGGAATCATCAGGGTTCGTTTGGAGAGATTGAGCTGGTTATACGCTACGCAACCCTGAGACATAAGCTTGTTGTCGTTGTTAACAGTTGCAGGTATGTCCCAAAAATCTGTCTTCAATAGTATTTAAGGCAGTAAAAAATGTAATTAAATATTCAAAACGTAAATACCGTGGCCTCTACCACACAGGAACCTATTCCCCTGCAGCGAGAATGGCACAGACTCTTACGTCCGCCTGTATCTCCTCCCCGACCAAACCTGGAAGCATCGTAAGAAGACGCATGTCAAGAAGAGGACAACTAATCCTGTCTTCAATGAAAAGTACGCTTACCTGATTCATTAACCATCTTGTACTAATTTTTTCAAATAGGAAGAATTGATAATTTATAGTTTGCAGATTGTGTATCTTTAAAGCTCAGCCATTGACATGGTTTCCTTTTTGTCCCAACCTGCTTTCATCACAGGGTTGAGTTTGACGTCTTACTCGAGCAAGCACAAACTAGGAAGTTGGATGTGTCTGTGAAAAATAACAAGATGTTGGTTTCCAGAGAGAGAAAGGACATTGGCTCGGTGGGTAATTATACTTATAGATCAGATGAGCTACTCATGTGGTAGTGATTCCCTGAAAATATAAATAATAAAATATGTAACTATGTACAATGGGGGGAAAGCATTAGAGCCCCTGCTGAATTTGTAATTTTGCTTACTTAGAAGGAAATGAACACACTCTAATATTGATGCAGAAACACAGAATATGAACCGAAAGTCCAGAAAAGAAAGCATTACATCAAAGTGATAAATGATTTACATGTTGGTGGTATGTTTTGGGTCACTGTCATGTTGGAAGACCTATCCACGACCCACCTTCAGTGTTCTGTCTGAAGGAAGGAGGTTCTTTTATGGCCCTGTTCATCGACCCCTTAATGTGCTGAGATCGTCCTGTACCCTTGGCAAAAACAAGGGAAAAAAGTCTCAAAGTATTATGTTTCCAGCTCCGTGCTTGACTTTCTTTGTGTCACACTCAGCCTTTCCTTCATTGTAAACATGGAGGAAACTGATCCTGTAGACAGGTGTGCTTTATAAATATAATGAATTGACATCAGTAGTATCTTGATTGATTGACTGTAATCACAGTAAATTGGTAGGAGCCAGAATAATGGCTTGGTTTTAGTCAAATACTTATTTCAGTCAATGACATGCAAATTAGTTTATAACTTTTATGATTTTTTTTTCCTGGGTTTTTGATAAATATTGTCTTTAAAATGAAACTACCATAAAAAAAAATGAGACTTTATTTCTTTGTGTGAAACTTACTTCCCTTTCTATATTTCTGTTCCTGACCTAAGCTTTAAAACTACTTGCAGCCGTCCAGTGCCACTCTTTGCCTCCTAGTAGATGAACCTATGGTATAAATGTGAAATTCCTAGGTAACTTCCTTCTTGAGTTATCACATTAACAAGATTCTCAAAAAACTTGACTTTTGAAATGCACATTGAGGTTGAGGTCACTAAGATTCAAAATTCATACAAGATTTTGAGGAGATGTGGTATCAACTTGAAATTCCTACATCGCCACTGGTGTCTGCCTGACGACAAGACCCCAGAAAGCCTTTTACAGCTGTGGGGTAAAAGGTTGTTAGTGAAACTGCTCGGTGCACGGTGATTTGTCGAACAAATATGCAACCTTTCATTTTCCAAACGGGCTCATAACAGTTTTCTTTTTTATTGATCCCTTTCATGTCAAACTGTCTTTGGCTGTCACTCTTTTGCAGCCTGTTCCAGATAATTAATGGCACTTTTGCTTCTGTCCACAGATAATAATAGATCTATCAGAAATGGATCTAGTCAAAGGCATCACAGCGTGGTAAGGGGACACTTTTCTTTTTGCATGGTTTATGTGACACTAGCTACAAACAAAATGTTAGTAATTCCTGGTGTGTCGCTCTGATTGCCCCTTTGCTGTGGGGCACTTTTTTCCTGTTTCTTTTTTTTATATAACTTCCTGGACTATTGCTGCCGTTATGGAAGTTTTATAGCAATGTAGCATAAACAGTTTTTGTACAATTTCTCAGATGAGTGTAATTGTGGAGGGCATAGAGCCTATCTGCCTGATGGCAGAAGGGAATTAAAACAATAGAAGATAACCTTTGCTAATTTTTATGTTATACTTATAATCACATAAACATGTGATATTTCTTTTCTCTGAAGGTATGAGCTCACTCTACCCGGGCTGAAGAAGTGAGTGTAACATGTACAACTGAGAGAAACTTCAGCTTGAAAAGCTGCTGCTGCAACCGCTGCAGAGAAAATGACAGACGTTCATACTCCTTACTCATCCGAAACACAGCAAACCAAGATTTATTTGTGTGTGTGTGTGCTTTTTTTTTTTTTTGTAACAAAAAGACCCTTAATAACAATGGAAAAAAAGGTTTGTGCAAGCAAAGCAATGTCTATATTTTGGTTATTTCATCTGAACCAAAGTTCATCTTTAGTGTTATATTGTAAATAGATTTATTGACAGTTTTTATGTATATATATTGGGGGAAATCAGGTAAAAGCCAAATGTTTGTTACAGCAATGTAGATGAGCGAGTGCATGGTGAGGAAGGATTACAGACTTTGATAAACACTGAAATGCACGAAGTCCCACTAAGCAGATTTTACATCGAGGCAGCTGAGCTGTTCTGCAGCTCATTGGACGTAAAACTGCATCCAAGAAGGGCACAAGCCAAGTTCTTTGGCCTCAGTTACTGACTCAATAGGATGTCATTCCTTTTAAAGCTAATCCTGTCAGACCATTCAAAATAACATCTCAGTACGCCGTCATTCTCTTTATGAAGGACTACAGCTCTGAGCTAAGTAGTTAATCAGAGGTTTGACATAAACACTTTAAAGAAAGATTTTTTTTTTTGTATTTATGTATTATTTAAAAAAAATCTCAATTGTAGTTGGTAAATTTGTTACAACAGGTGGCAGAATATTTTTAGTAGAACTGTCTTCAGACTACCAGAGATCTATAGTGGATGAAGACTTTGTCTTGGTTAATAGTTTGATGTTTTTCTGTTTTACATTAATTATTGAGCAGGGAAGCTGTTCCCAGTTGTTGTTTTTGAGCTGAAACTAAAAGGGACATTCATTTTCAATTCATATTCATGGCAAATAAATATCTTCAAACTAATACATGGTTGATTTGACATCATTTCAGTGTGAGAGTGTGATTGTGAAAAGAATAAATCTCTTCAGGCAGATTCCCAGATGACCAGCTGGGGGTATAGAGTCCCTATTCTCCCCACTGAACGCAGGGAGTATGTAATCAGTCACGTTTGTTAGTCTGTTTAGCATCCAAAGCTTTCCAAGATATCCTTTTCAAATTTTGTGTGATGGTAGATAATATGCATATCCAAAAATAAAGATTGTAAGTGTCATGATCTTGGGTCTGGTGAATATTCTCTATTTTGTGGCTCTCGTGGCGTAGTCTTTTGTATTTGTAGCTCCCTAAGTTGGCTTTTGTATTTTGTGATTTCTAGGCTTTAGATTTTGTTACTGTGCCTCCCTGAATTCCTTGTGTTATGCCTGGTCGCCCTAGTTTCCATGTTCGTGAATTTCTTGTTTTACTTTGACAGTCCTGCGTTCGTCTATTCTGTTTCACTTTCTCCCTGTCTCATGTGTGTGATTAGTCCCAGCTGTGTTCCCTGTTCCTGTTTCCCTTGTTACCCTCTTGTGTATTTTGCCCTCTGTCTTCCTTTATCTGTTGTTGGTTTGTCTGATTGTGTCCCTCCATGTTTCCAGGTTCCAAGTATCATACAGTGTTTTGTAGTTAGTTTTTCCAGTAAAGAAAAAAAAACGTGCAAAATTGTGAACCGCGTTATAGCGAGGGACCACTGTATTGCTATTTTATTGCTTATTATATTCCTCGCACTGTTTGCAATTTCCACATGCTCTTATATGAGTGATAGAGTGCAGTACTACTTTTCAAGGCTGACTGTACTCTGGGAAAGAGTCGCTAGGGGGCAGTACCACCACATATACAGAGTCGGCTTGCTAATCTAAACAGGCGTTCCTGTTTAGGTGATTTGTGATCCTGTTTAGTTAAACATAACATAACACCGAAGAGGAAAAGCAGTTGAAGCGTACATGCGCGTGGGTCCTCTTGTTCACAGGCTTTAGGGCGAGTTAATTGGTTACCTAGCAACGGCGCTGAGTTTCTCTGAAGAGTTTATGATAACTATGAACCTTTACAGATAGTTTAACACATGTAAGTAAGTGTTAAACCAGGGTTAACACGGGTACGTTCAAAATACTACAGCTGTCTGTTTCTTCTGATACAGCATCATCGCTGTCAATTCACATATCAATTTATGTTGAACACCACCTGAACAATGACTCAGCAGGCCAAAACTGAGGGAAACTGAAGTGCCTTTAAAAACAATCCCTCCAACAGTATTGTACACAGCTCTTTCATATTATTCATGATATGCAAGCTTTGATATATAAGTGCTTGAAAAATTATTTGAAAGGACATTAAGGTTTGTATGCAGAGAAGTTGAAAGGCGGTCCACTCCCCTCCCTGGACTTAATTGCCAGCTCAAGATGTCTCTCCAGAGCCAGGGCAAGTATACAGGACCACCTCCATCCTAACCACCACCTCTTCAACATCCCGTCCTCTGGAAAAAGGTTCAGATCCATCAGGTGCAAAAACAACAGACTAAAGAACACCTTCTTCCCGATGGCCGTCAGAACTCTTAATGCAAACTAAGGGTGAGTAAAGACTTGTCCAACGCATCCACTCTGACACTGCTATTGATCATCCATGTGCAATATCTCAATCTTTCCATGTTCTGTGCAATATTTTTTGGGCTCATGTGCAGTATCTTTGGTATGTGCAATATTTTCCGGTCTTGTGCAGTACTTTGGTCTCAGTAGAATTACCATCTCCACCCTTATTTATTTATTATATTTCATAATTGTCCTTGTATGCAGACCCACAATGTTTCTTTTTCAATGTTTCTTCCTTGTCTTTATGTCAGTGGCTTCTATCTGCTCCTTTGGCCAGCTTATTATCCCAGCAGGATACCTGATCACGGGCAGGGCGTAGGTGTTCTTACCATTCAGCTGGCTCCTCAGGACTTGCCTGACCCTCTGCAGGTACTTGGTGGTTGCAGCTTTCCTAACGGCCTCTTCATGGTTCCCATTTGCCTGTGGGATCCCCAAGTACTTGTAACTGTCCCCAGTGTATGCAATGTTTCCTTCTGGTAGTTTGATCCCCTCAGTTCTGACTACTTTCCCTCTCTTTGTTGTTGTTATCATCCGACTACGTTTCTCCAGTCCGACTAACATTCCGATTTCATTGCTGTATATCCTGGTGGAATCGATGTTTCATTCACTCTTGGCATACAGCTTGATGTCATCCATGTACAGGAGGTGGCTGAAAACTGGCCCACTTTTCATCAGGGTGCCCTGGTTCCTCAACACCTGACGAGGACCTTGCTGATCTGGGTGACGTCCGAACCAGCATCACTTCATATTTATCTGTCTCGCTCATGTCTGCGGTAGGCTCGCTTAGCATACAGTGGCTTGCAAAAGTATTCGGCCCCACATTTTGTCACATTTCAGCCACAAACATGAATCAATTTTATTGGAATTCCACGTGAAAGACCAACACAAAGTGGTGTACACGTGAGAAGTGGAACGAAAATCATACATGATTCCAAACATTTTTTACAAATAAATAACTGCAAAGTGGGGTGTGCGTAATTATTCAGCCCCCTGAGTCAATACTTTGTAGAACCACCTTTTGCTGCAATTACAGCTGCCAGTCTTTTAGGGTCTGTCTCTACCAGCTGTGCACATCTAGAGACTGAAATTCTTGCCCATTCTTCTTTGCAAAACAGCTCCAGCTCAGTCAGATTAGATGGACAGCGTTTGTGAACAGCAGTTTTCAGATCTTGCCACAGATTCTCGATTGGATTTAGACACCAGACAGGTCAGGGATAAAGTTATTGAGAAATTTAAAGCAGGCTTAGGCTACAAAAAGACAAAATATTAAAATAAGTTGTCATTTTAAAAAGTTAAATAAGCCATTTGATACATTAAGCCTTTTTGTTTTCACCTCATATACGAGAGCAAGTAAAATTCTATGTACCATGTGATCTCATAGGTGCTGAATCAAGTTGTGCTAAAGTGGTGTGGTTTTTTTTTTATGTGTTCAGGTGTTGGAGCAGGCGTGGCCATTCATTGGGATGTACATGGAGAAGCTACTTAGAGAAAAGATCCAGTCATCCATCAGGTCCTCCAATCCTGCACTCAAAGCGTTCACATTTACCAAGATTCATTTTGGATACAAAGTGTGTGGTTTTGATTCATGCACCATTTTTATTTGTTCTGCTTCAATATTCAGTAACATTCATCATTGGAAGTGCATCATAGGTGATGTATTGTGGCCGAGTTATTTTTTTTTTTAATTATTTCGTTTTTTTCAGCCTCTCAAGATCACTGGAATAAGAGCGTACACACATGAAGTGGAACGTAGGGAAGTGATTCTGGACATGAATATAAGGTTGGTCAAACACATTTTTTCACCTTAGTTTACAAAGTAGTGTGATGTTTTCTCTTGTCATCATTTATGTCTGACCAGCTCAGTTTACTCTCCAGTTATGATGGTGATGTGGACATCAGCACTGATGTGAGCCTGGCAATCACAACTCTTGTGAAAGGACTTAAAGTGAGCATCTCATTTTTCTGTGTTCTGTCCATCATCTATATCACATGCTTACTGTTCATGTAAAACTCGCTCTGAATCTTCCAGCTCCAGGGGATGCTGAGGGTCATTTTAGAGCCTCTTATTGGTCAAGCACCGCTGGTGGGAGGAGTGACTTTTTTCTTCATTCGCCGCCCTGTAAGTGGCCAGAGACTTTCTCACAGTCTTATTATGACGAGTGGAGCCTTGTGGTTAGTAATGTCAAACCTTTTGAGCATCCCTTCTTTAAGAACTCAAATAATATTTTAAATATTTGAAATGAATGATTTTATTACTCGGTGTTTACTTGTTTGGTTGCTGTCCTCTCTCATCACATCTTTCACCTCACAGTTCACTGTCTGAGGAGACGATCTTGGATGCTATAGCTTCCATCATGGTGTTGCCCAACCGCATGTGCATTCCCCTCATAGACAAGGTCAAAGGGGACCAGATGAGGTTCCCACTTCCTCATGTTAAATATTTTTGGAGTTATTTTCATCTTATAACTTGCAGCTACAGTAAGCAGCAGTTCACATTAAAAAACAGAATCCTATCAAAATAAAAAAGTATAAAAATTTTGAATGTTGTTTTGACTATTGCTAGTTTTTTGCTCTTTCAGTTGACCTGACTGTTAATGTGAATACTTGTGCTTTTTCATCTCAGGGGGTGGTGAGGGTCCACTTGTTGGAGGCCAGAGATCTGGTGGCTAAGAACACACACGTGATGAATTTAATGAAAGCGAAATCAGACCGATATGCCACACTGAGAGTGGGCAGCACGCATTTCAAAAGCAAGACTGTCAAAGAGAATTTGTTCCCAAAATGGAATGAAGTGTATGAGGTACACAAACACACTGCACTTATCCACACTTTGATTCTGACACTCTTTTTTCCCTTAACAAAAAAATGTGTCACTTAATTCTCATGGACAAACTTGAAAACACAATTACGTGGAGTTTGTTTGCATTTTTGCTCAGTATCTTATATCCACTTTTTCTTAATGTAACCTACTGAAATCCCATTCAGTAAAATTTAATCAAAATACTTGAAAGACAATTAAAAACATTGTTGTTGTTGTTTTTGTGTGTGCAGTTTATTGTCCACGAGGCCCCGGGGCAGGAGCTAGAATTAGAGCTGTGCAATGAGGGCGCAGACAAAGATGATTGTCTTGGAAGGTAAATCGAATATTAAATGGATTTTGGCCAAATTCTCTAATGATAATAATAATGATGGATTGCATTTT